TTTTTTACCATATGATTTATTTTTATTTTTTTTAGTCAAACATGACAGCAGAATGTATTTTGTATTTATATTTGTATGTATTATACATGGAATGTACATACATCAATACATACATCAATCGTATTGTCTATTCTATTCTGCTGCCCTTCCGATCCTCCCTACTCCTTCCCTCCTCTCCTATCCTTTCTCTATCCAATCTAATGTGACATACTTTTTTTCTTTTTCTCATCACAACATCATATATGTATTCTGTATAACAATGAGATTCTCCTTCCATCTTCCGTGCAACTCCCCTTCTCCCTCTTTTTCCCTCCCACCTCTCTTCCCTATTTAGTGGTAGTCTTCTTCTCATGGTCTTCCTCCCTATCCTATTTTGAGTCAACCCCCCTTATATCAGAGAAGACATTCAGCATTTTTTTTTAGGGATTGGCTAACTTCACTTAGCATGATCTGCTCTAATGCCATCAATTTGTCTGCAAATGCCATGATCTTGTTATTTTTTTAGTGCTGAGTAATATTCCATTGTGTATAAATGCCACAATTTTAATCCATTCATCTATTGAAGGGCATTTAGCTATTGTGAATTGTGAAATGCTACAAACATTGATGTGGCTGTCTCCCTGTAGTATGCTCTTTTTGGAAATTTATTAATCCTATTCTCCATAACCTATACTTTGAATCTGGAATATCCCTAAGTAGCTCTGTATTCAAGGGTTGGTCCACAGCTGGTATCACTGTTTGGAGTTGGTGTTAAGTTTAGGATGTTGGAAGTGGTGGGTCATGGGAAGCATGTCTTTGACAGATGTGTTTTTTCCCTAGCTCCTTCTCTCTCTTTCTCTGCTTCTGAGTCTCTATATGATGAACAGTTTTGCTCCACCACAGGCTTCCCCTCATGATGCTCTGCCTCACCACCAGCCCACAGCAACAGGACTAAGTGACTATGGACTAAAACCTCTGAAACTGTAAGCCAAAATAATGCTTTCTCCTTGATGTTGTTTTTCCCAAGTATTTTGTCACAGCAGTGGAAAGCTGTCCAACACAAGGTAGTAATTATTTTTACATCTCTTTTTTTTTTTACTGGGAAACCTTAAGGTCAATTTTGTATAAATTACAAGTAACTGCAGATCAGCATTCTGCTTAAAGCTTTATGGCCAGAAAATCTCATTTATTTCCATTTAGTATCTCAGATTCGAGAGCCTATTGTGTGCATCTCTCTCCAATCTATTACATAATGGGTATATTTAGAGCATGTAGATATATAAAGGTCAAAAATAGGTTTTTTTTAATTTGGGTTGTTTGTTTTTGTTTTTCTGGGAGAACAGATTTGTCAGTACACCCTGGTTTAAAGGTATCTCAAAGTCAACTGGTTCAATGAAAATATTTTCTCTTCCTGGAGTCCTCTGCTGCTTCCTCTCCTCTCTGTGGGTGGTATCACTGTGCAGAACCCTGGGTACTCTGCCTCATTTGTCTCCTATACTCATATCCAGTCATCCTCAGACTCTATGGAGTCAATATGTATCGGCTAATGTTTTCCCTTCCATCACTAGGAATAGAAACTTGAGCACGTGGCAGCCCAGTTAGACTATATTTCCTGGACGCCGAGGTTTTTGAGAAAGGCCATTGGATTGTTTTCCATGGAGTGGACTAAGCAGAGGCAACATGTGACTTACCTCCTCCAGTCTGTCTCTCTCCTTCCTACCTGCTGCAACTTAGGAACAGCAATAACAGTGAGCATGATGACAAAATCCTAGAACACAGGGTTCCCAAAACTTCTTTGTAACATGGGCCTGCATTATCCACCTAATGAAGCCTTTGGATCTCTTCTCCAAAAAAGTTTTACAATGTGTAAAATGCAACATATAGTGTATGCAACATATAATGAATTCCACTTACCTTGAAGTATAGTAATCAACATATAACTCTATTTGTTATGTACTCATAAAGCAATTTTTATTGATACACTAAAAGTCAAAACGTAGCAGCAGGTCTTATATTTACAATAATTTCAAAGCAGAGATATATGTGGATGACATTTTAAAATTCTTTTATAACTATGTCATAAGAAGACAGCTCTACTTTCAAATTGTTGACTGAGCCACAAGCCTTGCTAAAAATCCTGTGATTTGATGTCAGTATTCTTAATTGAGGAGATTGATAAACTTTACTTAGAGCCTGGTGATAATAAAGATGTATTTTTTTCACATTTGAGATTAGAAACCTTCTAAATTCTATCCATGGCCCATTTGAGGCTCCTTCAACCCCTGGTTGAGACTATAGGCAGAAGGTGGCAGAACTTCCAGAGTACCTGGCTTCCTGGATGACCTCTATGGGCTGAAACTGCCTGGATAGTCACAGTAGAGAGAAATAAACACCTGTCTTTTTCGTCACTGAATATCTTGTCTTTCTCTCCCCACAGTGGTTCAGCCTGGTTGAACCTGCCTAGTTGGTATGTGCACATTAGTTCTCTTGTTTTGATTACCTCTTTTGCTTCCTGGTACAGGCATTTCCAACATATTGCTCACAAACTGCTTTTAACCAAACCAAACCAAACCAAAGCAAACAAAAAACTGTGCTGAAACATTGTTATATGCATTACAAATACATGTGTTTTGAGGGCACAATTTAATGAGTGCTGACAATTTCATCCACCTGGGCAGCCACCACATTCAACATCCCTAATATTACCATTACCCCCAAAGTTCCATTTCTGGGTCAATTGTTCTCTTCCATCAGCCTACTCTGCAATCACAGACCTGGTGTCCGGTGCTACAGATGAGATTTGCTTTCCTGGGGCTTCATGTAAATGGAATTATGTAGAATGTATAAGTTTATCTGATTCCTTTGAATAGGGTTAATTTTTGAGGATTTGTCTATGTCGGTGCACTTATCACTCTTCTGATTCTTTTCATTATTGACTAGTATTACTTTTTTTGAATGTACCATAACATTTGTATCTTTTATCATTTAATGATCATTTAAGCTATTTCCAGTTTGGACTATTGTGAATAGAACTGCTGCAAATATTCCTATACTGTTCTCTATACAAAATTTTCACTCTCTTTTGATAAGTACCAAAGAGTGGAATGACTGATTAACATGGTAAGTAGATATTTAACTTTTGGTACATCAGCCTGATGGACTTTGTTGTTGTCATTTAAACTGTAGATATATTTGGAGAGAACTTCTCTAGTAACAACATTGAGTCTTCCATGTTTTTCAGAGCCTAATAATGTGATGTGGGAGATGTTAGTCTCAGAGGAGTGGCTTTACCCCTTTTTGCTCCCTGATCTGTTGTGTTTCACACTATCATTGATTATTTGAGTGGTTTTATCTTTCTATTTTCTTTTTATTTTATTTACCTTGTCTCTATATCATTGTCTCCCTGTGCATTAATCAGGAAATTTTAAATTATTCTTTTGCTGTTATTAGCTTTAATGAAACACCAGCACCTTTGTAATTTCTAGTTCATTTTAGAAATTTCAGCATGTACCTTTGACTTTGTATTGTCTAATATAAATCTGCACTTGCGATAATTTCTAGGGTGAAGGACCTTACAAAATTATAGCCTATTTTCTTTGTTATTTTAATTCTAGAATAATATAATTATTAGTAGTTCTACATAATATATAATTACATTATTTGTATAATCCTTAATCTTTTCTTTTAGATTTGTACCCTTAGTTTCCCCCCCACCCCCTGCCCCATCTTTTTATAAAGTCATTTGGAGTATTTTTCTTGTTTAGAGAACTGTCTTCAATAGTCTGAACATATAAATATGTAATTCTCAAAATTACATTTGCCCCTCTTATTTTATTTTTAGTTTTGAGGAATAGTTTTGCTGAGAATAATTCTGTTTTCTAGATGTTTTGCTTGTTTCTTTTCCATTTGTTCTTTGTGTTTTGGTAGGAGATAGCATTAGCCCTTTGAAATGTCATATATTTCCCTCTTACTTTTCTAATTTCTCTTTGTTTCTCTCTTATTTTCTCTTGGGCTCCAGAATCTCAAGCCCTCACTGTCTTGGTAGGTTCAAACAGATTGAAAGTAAAATTATTCAGCTTTTCTGGTTGTTCTTAAAAGGTATTTACAAGTTAATCTATTATTTTTGTATACACACACACACACATGTGTGTTTTCACCCTATAGAATATTTTTATTTTATGATATTACATTTTATCTTTATTTAATTTTATTAATAAACTCTTGTGGTTGATATATAGAAATACCAATGCTCTATTTTTATGGTGCTTTCACATCAGTGCACATCCAGAACAAGATGATTAGAAGTGGCCATTCTAGACATCTTTGTCTTGTTTCTACTGATAGTTTCAGTATTTTTGATGTTTCATTAAATATGTGACATTGTGGTACATGATATTTGTTTTTAGTGCCTTCTTTTGAGTTGAAGAAGTTCTCTTCTGAAAAACAGTTCACAAAGTGTTTTTCTTATCAATGGAAGGAAATTGGGTTACTGTCAAGTCATCTTTTCCTGATTCACTGAGGTAGTTGTCTGATTTCTTTTATTTATATCTTTAAATGTCATAAGTTGCATTATTATATTTTCTAAAACCAAACAATGCTGCCACTGCTGGCTGGATCCAACTGGGTAGTAATTTAGATTACAGTTTTAACACAATTCTGTTACACTGTTGGTAAGAGCACAAATTAATATAGTCATTTTGAAAGCAGTTGGACTGTGCTGTTTCCTTCCTTCCTTCCTTCCTTCCTTCCTTCCTTCCTTCCTTCCTTCCTTCCTTCCTTCCTTCCTTCCTTCCTTCCTTCTTTTTTCTTGTGTAAG